AACTTCTTCCCCCACTGTCATCTGCTTCTCATTACCATCTGGCAGCATTGCGTCCACCTTCACCTGGATTCTGATAATGGCCTCTTCAACCTTGTCCCCCACCTCGAAGCCAAGGATGGAGTCGCCCAAATATTGAGGCACATCATCTCCAGCCTCATCTGCTTCATACTCCTGAGCGCGGCAACACTCACGAATGAGGAGTCCAAGGCCCAGGACAACAATCATACCCAAACCACGAGATTTGATGACATAGTTGCCTAGTTCCTCCAAAGCGACAGAGGAAGCCTGAATATCACTGTGCATATTTTGAGGTAGATATGCCTCAGACCAAGTCCAAGATGCCCAGACAGGCAGATGTTGCTTCCTAGCCTTGCCCTTAGGATCAGGAGTTTGCTTTCAAAAAATAGTCAATTTTAATGCTGTTATCACAAATGTAGTGAATTATACATACTGTCTTGGAGAGTTTTTGAACTGTGGCCAACAGACGAGAATATGATGGGAGGGTAGAGAGGGATTGAAGATAACCGACTGTGTCACCACCCATATGGAATTTCGGGCAGGAATCGGAAAGAGATGGGGTGTGGCTTTCCAAGTCATCCTCTTCGTCAGAAGAACCATTGGCTTGGGGGGCCTTCTTCAGTACCTCGTCCTCATCTGATGATACTTCGACATATTTTGGGTTCTTCCTTGATTTTTTACTTACATCCCCCTTCTTAGCCAGTGAATCATAGAAGTCGCCTTCCTTATACCCAACGAACCGGACAATTGGTTCATTACGGTTAGCACGATATTTCCAAAGTGAAAAAATCATACTGATGGCTTCCTTCTGCAGGTGAGAAGGATCCTTGATGACGACATTTCGAGGGATACAGTCCATGTCAAGGTAATGGTCTGGATCTTGGGTAATATGACCCCAGGGGACTGCAGCCCTAGGGTTGTTTGAGATGACCGCTGTTGAATGTAAGCGGTCAGAAAAATACAGTACTTCGAAAATAGAAATGAATCACCATAAGCCTTTTGAAATACCTTTCGTACGACCTTCTGCTGGTTCTTGAGCATGAGAGATTCAAAGCCTGTCGGTAGGCAAGGATAGCCCTCATCGTCTACCTCCACTGTTAAATCGGGCAACTTCTCATCTTCCTCGTCAGATTGGTCCTCAGCGTCTAAGCCTGTTGCTAGATCATTAGCAATTAAATAAATTACTGTATCCAAGACTTACTATACTCGGCTTCATTCAGCCAGTCAGCAAGTCGGTCTTGGGACTCTCCAGCCCATTTCTTGTTGTCTTTGGTAGCCAGAGTAAAAGTTTTCTTCGCCTTCCTGGGACAGGATTCCCAACTAAACCAATAGATTGTCAATGGTAATGTCAATGGGAAAAAAATAACACTGACATGGTTGTTCCAGGCATTTTCCCCTCCCCTCGATCATGAGCTACGAGCATCACAACATGTAAACCCATGGTTCTTCCTGCCATCTTTATGAAGTCCTCCATGATTTTCTTCTGGTGTCGGCTGCGGTATCTGTAGATACACATGAGTTTTTCCTAAATATAGCAATGTAGTGTTAAAAAAATACCTGTCCTTGGCGTCGGAAAGAGCACCTTCCTGGTTCCACTTTTCTGCCACAAGTCTGAGCTCCTCATGTACATCTGGTGACAGGGCATTGTACCAGGACCGGACCAGCTTTGTCCTTGTCCCCATGGACCTTAGGTCAGAGGTGTCACGGTGCTTCTTGTCATACTCCCCAATTTCTTCTTTGAACAACTTCTGAGCGACATCAAAAGGAGAGAATTCGGTCTTGAATGCTGCAGCATCCAGAGGCTTGTCATCCTGACGGCCTTTGACCATATCTACAGTGATGATGCCTGCACCAGATGTGAGTTTATGAGCTCCCTCGATGATTTTTTGCTCGAGATCGCGGTCCTCGTCATCCTCCAGAAAACGCAAGTAATATGTACGGATAGCCTATAAAATTAGATTAATATAGACAAAGAGACTGGAAGCTCACCTTCCGAATGTTATTGCCTGGAAGCATAGTCGAAGCATCCTTGGCCTGGTCACTTTCAAGTATGGCATCTTTGATGCTTTTGAGGATTTTTGCCCTCTCAGCAGGGTTTCCTCTAGCTGAGACATAGGAAATCTTGTGCTCATCCAAAACAGCCTTGAATACATGTGTCCAGTCAGCCATTGTATGCAAAAATCTTGAGAATGGAGGCCGGTATAAGTTTGCAGAATGTGTAACCAGTACCAACTCACTTGACAACAGATCAACAAACCATGTCACATGATCAAAACACGGTCACATGCTCATCAGGTGACTATCTTGAGGTCACATGATTCAAATAACCAGCACAAAATCACCCAAGTATAAATCTGACCGACTCACAAATTCAATGACATTAGCTTATATACCAAATCTCAAGATTCAGACACCAAACAAATGATTACTCAAACTCAGAACAATGATAACATGAAGCAAAGTACAAAGTAAGACAGATATTCAAGAAAAATATGTAAATCAAGCCAACTGTGTCTCCAATGGAATATCCAACCAAGTACTACCATTCTTCCTACCAGAATAAAGTACTGTGGACCCTGGTGGCTGAGAGAATGTATGGCTTACATTGCAAGAGTCATTTTTGCACTCAAAAATATAAGCCTTGTCCTTGCTGCCTTTGACATAGGCGGACCTCCAAGAATTAGCCCAACCACACCCACTGCATTGGATAGGCAGGCGGTAGCCCCAAGGACGGAACTCCACATTAGCCCATGCAAACCTAGAGCAAGTGAGGGCGCCCTCCTTGACAGGTGTCAGCAGATAAATGTCAGAGTGGCGACCAAGGTCACAGGCTTGTGCGAGCATATCCTTGAATGCTAAACGAAGTGGGCAACGTCCAATGAGAACCCTCTCTGTGAACGCAATGAGCAAGTGCGAGGCGAAAGAGGGCTGAAACCGAGGAGCATTGAATGCGATGGTACCGGTTAATTTGTGTCTGTAGGAACATTAGATAATGTCAAATAAACGGAAAAAAAAAACTCACCGGACAACAGCCTCTTGCAAGCCATGGAATGAGTCCAAGTTGGTGACAAGGTGGCCACAACAGAACATCCAGAGGTAGGATTCCTGGGCGGCATCAATGAGAGTTTGCCAGGGTTGGAGAATTATTTCCAAGAACTGTAAAAAGGGTCACTTATTGGCGCACTATGAAAGGAAAAAAAAAAAAAACTCACATCATTGACCGGAGTGCTGATATAGCCCTCTGAGGCATCATCCTCATACCCAGTAAAAGGGTCTCCAAAATCCTCATCAGTGTGAGTAGAGATGCCAATCACAACACGCTCCCAGACAAAGGACTTCTTCAAACCTTTCATTATCTTCTGGATGTTGTTGCGGTAGGCGGGAAGCTTGGCATCAGTGCCAATGTCATAGTAGACGTTGAGATACTGGATGCGGTCGCCAGTATAGTCAGGGCTTGAGGAAGGAATGAGCAAACTCCATAGGGCTACCAGCCAATGTGAAGTCGACGAGGATGAGGTGAATGAAAATGACTGTGGCCGCCGAAATTTCGCCTCGCTCAGACACCTCAAGCGCGCCATTGATGGGTAAGAACCTGTCCAAGACCGGAAGGTGGTTGGCGTTATAGAAACCCTGTTATCAATGAGGGGTGAACAAAAACATAAAATAAAATCAAAAAACTCACAAAGTAGGCGCCTGCCTTGTTCCATCTTGATGTGGCAACAAATGCACCGGAAAGAGATGTTGTCCTGCAGGACTGTGGTCTCTAAGTCAGGCAGGCAGCTGCAGGCAGAGCCTGCACACAACTCTGGGACACAGAGCTGCACATGAAGAGAGTATTCTCTTCATAGCGCCCTGCACCATCCCTGCAGACTATGCAATACTAAAAGGAAGAAAGATAAAGCACATTAGTAACTAGATTAGTGAGAAAATGGACGCACCTCATTGTGAACACTTGTATTTGCCAAGTCCCCACCTCCCATAGGCAAGGTGGCCTTGGCAGCGGTCAAAGCCTTCAGAAGAGAGAAAGATAAAGTGAATCAGCAAATACAAGACAGAAAAAGTAAGACGCACCTTATAATGAGCATCTCTCTTCTCAATGTCCCCACCTCCCACAGGCTTGACCTTGGAGGCGGTCAAAGCCTTCCTTCTCCGGCTATCCACTCCAGAAGTCCGGGTGCTTGAGATGTTGAGGAGGACGCGTGGGGCTGAGCCGCCAGTGGATTTCTTGGCGGTGTTCTTGGTGCGGACCATAGCGGGTGACAAGAGCTGGTATTGTAGTTAGTATTAGCATAGAAATAGAATAAAGAAAACTCACATGACTTAAGAGACACGTGGACAAAAGAGACGCGTCAGCAAAAGAGACGCGTTGAGAAAACAAACACGTCAGCAAAAGAGACACGTGGGCAAAAACAAACAAAAGACACTCACATGATCAAAGAGACGCGTTGACAAGAGAGAGAAGAGACTTAGACAAAAGAAACAAGTCGAAAAACCAACCAAACATGCACGTGACTTCCACCGGCCAAGTCCGACAACCAGTAGAATTGAGCGCGGGAACATTTGGTACAAACAACAACAAATCAACAAACAATACTTCAACCATCAACCTTGTTCCCACGGTTCGTCTTTCTCAACTTCAACAAACAATACTTCAACCATCAACCTTGTTCCCACGGTTCGTCTTTCTCAACTTCAACCATGTTTCCACTTCGTCCCATAACCCATATATATTACACTATTACACCTTTCTTCCTTATCTTTTTGTACCTGTCCTTTGGCCACTTGCAGACTGCAGCTGCAAGTGTTCAAAGGCAGTGTTACATCAACTTTTTACCGCTCTCAGTAAGTAATGTTAAGTCATATGATTTGTAGTACTGACTTGGTTTTTTTTTATTTTGACAGCTGGCGCGCTATCAAGCTTTTGATAGCGCGCCTTAAGGTCAGTCCTTTCTCTTGGTTCTTGATTGACTTTGTTTTAGTTCTTCTTGGCCAACCATGTCCCCAGGGACTGGCGCCTCTAACCCTTTGTTTTTTTAGTTCTTCCTGGCCAACCATGTCCCCAGGGACTGGCGCCTTTACTTTGGGATCTGGGGGTTGTGTTCCTGGCCAACCATGTCCCCAGGGACTGGCGCCTTGGACTTTGGGATCTGGGGGTTGTGTTCCTGGCCAACCATGTCCCCAGGGACTGGCGCCTTGGACTTTGGGATCTGGGGGATATGCTCTTGGCCAACCATGTCCCTAGGGACTGGCGCCTTTACTTTTGTCCAGTTTTTATGCCTACTCACCTCTCTTTCAGATTTTCCGCCTGCCTTGTTAAGCCCCCTTATTTCTTCTTCTACAAATATACCGCACTAACTACATTTTTTTCTCTAGCTTTCTATGACACTTTCTTGCTTTGCGCCTGTCTGGTTGAGTGGGTTTTTTCTTTTCTTCTTTCAATCATACTCTACCACTAACCGCATTTCTTTCTCTAGCTTTCTATATCAGTTTTCCTTGGTTATGTTTCAAACTGGTAAGCGCCGGTTTAATATTCAATATCATACTGACTTCCACTACATTAGATTATTAGTTACTGCGCATTTTTCTTATATTTTGTACTCTAGGGTGCAAGGCTTGGATGGAGAGGGCCCCTCCATCCTTGTCTTGCATCACTTACATTAGTCTTTTGTCTTTCTTTATTTTTGCCAACCTTGTACACTTTAGTGAAGCCATAGCGCAAATGTATTGCCCTTTATGGGTATTTTAATGTCATGTGATCCTTAATTTTTTGCCAAAAATAAATGTCACGTGATCGTGAGAGTGCACCTTGTAGGGTATCTTGAGATTATATCTGTCTAATGGCGACTGATACTGGGTGCATCATGGTCATTGTTGCGTTTTTCCTTCATCATCGCCCGGTATCCCAAAACATGAGCCCATGTCAGTACCACCACTATACAAACACTGTATAGTGATGGCGACTGATAGGGTGCATCATGGTCCTTGTTGCGTTTTTCCTATTGCCACTTATACACCCATTTTCTCCCTTCTCCATATCTCAGTGTTGTCAGTAACGGTGAGTTTATTTACCAGGACTATCTATACCCTATGCTTCACTTACTGCATTATCATCCATATGTTGCAGCGCTGTCAGTAACGGTGAGTTTATTTACCAGGACTATCTATACCCTACAGCATCATTACTTCGGATTTGGTAATGTTTTACAGTCAAAGATCAAGTCTTCTAACCGTCACTTTTAATTAGATTAAATCTTTCTTTTCACCTTCAATCACTCTACCTCTACACCAGCATACGATGCTTGTTGACCAAGACGCAAACAAGGTGAGTACATTATATTATATATTGACATTTTCTACACTATCATAGGATATGGTCGTGTTCACCCTTGATGAGGAGCATCCTATGCTCGTCGACCCAGACGTCTCAACAAATGTGAGTACATTATATTTTATTTTGCGGCTATATATTGACATTTTCTACACTATCATAGGATATGGCCATCTTCACCCTTGATGAGGAGCATCCTATGCTCGTCGACCCAGATGACTCAACAAATGTGAGTACATTATATTATATTTTGCGGCTATATATTGACACTTTCTACACTATCATAGGATATGGCCATCTTCACCCTTGATGAGGAGCATGTCGTGAATATTGACAAGGATGAGATTATGGTATAGGAAGGCATTTGGAGAGATCATGGTATAGGAAGGCATTTGGATGTGAACAATGTAATGTACTAGTGCTATCATAGCTATCTTACCACCACTTCATTTTTTTTCCCCATCTATCAGAGTGTAGTCCCCTAACATATTCCCTTTCTACATATCATCTGCTCCTTCTACTGCGCTCGGTTTATAACCCATCTATCAGAGTGTAGTCCCCTAACATATTCCCTTTCTACATATCATCTGCTCCTTCTACTGCGCTCGGTTTATAACCCATCTATCAGAGTGTAGTCCCTTAACATATT